GTATTCCAAGTGTGGCCTTGCCAAGGCATTATAAAGTGGTATTAACACTTCACGTGATCTTGATTCTATCCCTCTGTTTATGCAGCCTAGAACTGTGTCGGCTTTCTTGACAGCTGCTGCACACGGCTGGCTCATATTTAATGGTTGTCCACTAGGACTCCAAAATCCCTCTCACAGTTACTACTATTGAGCAAGGTACCACCTATACTGTACCTCTGCATTTCGTTAGTGGCCAATTTAGAATAGAATAGAATAACAGAGCTGGAAGGGACCTTGGAGGTCTTCTAGTCCATCCCGCTGCCTAGGCAGGAAACCCTATACCACTTCACACAAATGGTTACCCAACATCTTCTTAAAGACTTCCAGTGTTGGAGAATTCACAACTTCTAGAGGCAAGTTCTTCCACTGGTTAATTGTTCTAACTGTCAGGAAATTTCTCCTTAGTTCTAAGTTGCTTCTCTCCATGATTAGTTTATCTAATTAGATGATCTACTTGTTTCCGGCACGTGCATGGACACCGACCACCTGGTCTTCCAGTTTCGGGCATGCATGCATGCATGAAGACCAGCTGGCTCATGCGCATGTGCACATCAGAAACCGAAAGAGCAGCCGCCCAGTGCACATACGCACACTGGGAAGAGGATCTGGTTTCTGGCATGCGCACAAGCATCTAGTCTTCTGGTTTCTGATGTGCACATATGCACGAAGACCAGCTGGCAAGTGCGCATGCACGCACGGGAAACTGGAAAATCATCCTCCCAGCACAAGCATGTGCACCAGGTGGCTGTGCTTTTGGTTTCCGGTGCTGCTGCAGGCAGGAAGACCCACTTGCCGGTGCGCTGGAACCTGGAAGAGCAAAGGTGATGGCTTGCATGACTGGAGAAATGACTTTGTGTGCCACTTCTGGTACGCGTGCCATAGGTTCGCCATCACGGGTGTAGGGTTCCCTGCTTGAGCAGTTGGGTTGGACTAGATGACCTATAAGGTCCCTTCCAACTCTGTTAACCAGTTGATCTCTAGTTGCGCAAGAGAACAAATGGGGAGGGAACCTTTGCCGCAGCTTAAAAGAATAATCTGCAAAGGAAGTCAAAAACTGAATTTTGCTAAAGCTGGAACTCTTTTAACAGAAACAGGAGCATTAAATGGCACTGCTGAGAAGCAATTGCAAAAAAAAAAATGGCAGAACTCAAAATGTAATATTTCTCTTGCTTACCTACTGATGCAGGCAAAATGCCACTGGAGTTTGCAGGGTCCTTTTTCATGTTGCAAAACTTTCTTTGCACTCTCTCTCTTTGGATTCCATATTCTATCTAGCCCCACCGGCACAGCTGCTGACCAGATATTATTGGGAGCTGCTGCAACTCCGAAGGCGTAAAGGACAAGCAGTTCTTTGCCCCTCTCATTACATTCCAGGTGTTTTGGTGTCCGGTTAAACTTTAAATCTGACATTAAATTCAAACTTGACAACTTTTAAGACTTGTGGACTTCAACTCTCAGAATTAAATTCAAACTTGGCAACTTTAAGACTTGTGGACCTGGAAGGAGGAGCCAACGTCACGACGATATGGTCGTGCGGTCTCGATGCTCTGAGACCGCAGCCAATACTTTTGCCGCTGGGTGGTCCAAGCAGACCTAAACCATCCTGAAGAGACGATGAACAGGAAGAATATGTCTTGCTGATCTCAAGGATATCGCAAAATCCCTGAAAGAAGCAAAAGAAGTTCTTCAAGCTGGCGGTAAAAAATCCAGCTAAGGCTGATGAAGTCAAAATGATGGTTTTAAAGAGAAAACCAGGATTGGTAATCAGAGATAAATTAATTAAAGTAGCAAAAGGGCGCCAAGATTATCTGAGAGATTCCACAAGCAACAAGGTGTGGAGAGGTGTCCATAAAAACTTTACCAAGGAAATAAACAGAAGATTAATTCCCCAAATGGCAAAAGAAGTAAGACTATATGCCTTCGGGAAGGACACATGTTGATATATGAAAATTGATAATAAAACAATAGCTAAGTTTGATACAGCTAATGATATATATAGGTACTACCATAACAAAAGGAACCTGGACACAAATTGTAAACAGTGACTTGGGGGGGGGGAGGGCTTAGAAACTTTGTCAACTAATCTTTGTTTAGAATATGTTATAAAGGTTTAAGGCTATTGGATGATTTTGTAATAATTAATGAAATGCCATCAGGTAGTTGTGTTAACTATGGATTATTCTAGGCAAAAGGACACTAAAATAATTTCAGTCAAATGAGAACTATGCTACAGTATGTTGATAGTAAGACCCATTAAGAATCTTTGACATT